GCATGCTGGTTTTATTTCCTTCTGTCGCCAGCTCCTCTCACAGCCGGGCATCTTTGTCTTGTTTCAGTTCCAGCTCCAGATGTTCGATATTGTCTGCAGCGTGGCCTGGACCAGCCGAGACCGCTGCTGTGACCTGCCCGCACTGGTCCGTAGCCGTGGAAACGCAAGCACACTTCATTATCGACTGCGACTATGACACGCACGCACACATCGGGCGGACGGCGAAGCACGTCTCGACGCGTGCTCTCGTTGGCGTCATCAAAAATGACTTTTTGTTTCTCCTCTTTTTCTCTTCTGCTTTCACTCAGAGAGACGAGAGCAAATGTCCTTCGCTCCCCAACGCCTGCAAGTGCACCACTTCGGCCACCGGAGCGCAAGGACCGCAGGGACCGGTGGTGAGCACGCACAACTTGTCCACGTCGGTCAGCGGGGCATTCTAGAAAGGAGACTTTAAAAAAAAAAAAAAAAAAACAGTTCCACATTGTATATTTAAACGCCACAACCAGAGCAAATCCGCTCATATCATCGTACAAATGCTGTTAGCTGAAAATGCTCGGCGATATTGCAAAATACCAAAGATGGGCTCTTTGCAACAATGTCGCGCTAATTGTAAACCTTGAAACATCAGCTACGACACATAGACCAAAAAGAAAAGTTCGAATGCATGGTATGTTGTCATAAACGCGGGACAGTGAGTAGTGTTGCGTTCCTGGAATGGAAAAAGCCCCGCAAATGGCGGCCCTCGTAAGCCACATTTGAGTTTAGAATCCACATTTTTTTCGACGACGAGGAGAACAGCAGCTGAGCAAGAAGATTTGCTCATTTGAAATCGATCAGAAAGTTGGGTTGAGTTTGCCTTTCATGACTCGGCCTCTTTTCCGGCAGACCTCAGTGCTGCCTCCCAGCATGCGGTGGCATGAGGCGGTACTGCGCCAAAGGCCGGCGACTCCAAATTCAGCCCGGAAGAAATGATCCGCTTCCCAAAAAAAAAAAAAACCCCCGATGAGCTGCAATGTAGCAAGAGTTGAATATATGAAAGGCATACCGAAAATGATGGGTCAACGGTATGATCAAATTCTATTTTCAAATGTTTATTTTTAAGTCAGGGTAGGAAATTATAGAGGGAGATGATTTCACGGCAGACGGAAGGAAGGAACATTTGATGTGGAAGCGAAGCGACGCCTCGCAGCTGCAGATGGCGGCGATGTCATGCTGCCGCTGAAAATCAGCTTGCCTTGATTGCTGTTCTTCATCTTTGTTAGTCCTACTCGGTCGGTGAGCTGCAACCTCACTCCTTTGCTAATTGAGAGCTTGCGCCTCACTCTGCGAAACCAAAGACGATAAGATTCCTCCTGATTCCGAATTCAAAACGTGTCAGGCGCACGTCCGGGTGACAACAAGTTTTAGTCGAACGTTTGAATTGTTGCGGCTGCCAAGGACGTCCATGATGCAAATGAAATGCAACCAAACAAGGGCCAAAGGTGGCCACCCGGTTGCCACAGTGACACAAACAACTTTTAGCCCAGTCAGCAACCACGCTAGCCACTCAATCATCTTTCCTGCACATCAACTGAATTAAAAGCAAAAAAAAAAAAAAAAAACCCAAACAAGAAAACAGGGACACATCCCCCCCACCCCCCCACCCCAAAAATCCAACATTGAGGGGAACCGTTGAATGTCACGCTGCCAATACCTGCAGGGCTCCTCTGCAAACCAATGTTTCTCCTGATCTTGTTCCCACTCAGGGTGCACCCGGCAAAAAAGGACCACGAGGTGAAAGAGGAGAGCTCGGTGCGCCTGTAAGTTTCTTTCAACTAAAAAATGCACACGACGACAACAACAGCAGCACGTTAAGAGACTGCTCTGGTCTCGCAGGGGCCAGTGGGCCCTCGGGGCGACCTGGGAGCGCCCGGACCCATGGGCCTGCCTGGTCCGCAAGGACCCAGCGGACGCTCCATCCCGGGAGAGGCTGTGAGTACACGCGCGCAGGCCCGCACATAAATCTGAGGATGAGCGCGGATTACGCCGGAGATGTGAAGAAAGGTTCCTTGACGTCAGGCGCCATTCCGCAAAGCCTTGCTGCTCATAAATCAAATTGGAGTTGTCTCCTGGCTGCAACGATTTTCCCACCGCTTCCCGAAACAAATTGAGCTGCGTTTATTTTGTCAGCGTGGACGCCTGTCGAAAAAACAGCAAGTTGACTCGATGCCTTGCAGTATCCGGCAGCTTGAACTGTCGTGCCTTTCCACAGATGTGCCACGCAACCTCGTCGTCGCGTCGGCATTGCATTGAGAGGCGCAACAATGACATTCGCAACTCGGCGGTCATCAATTTTTTAACGATTTTCATTCAAAAGGAAACATCTGCTTTGGAAAATGATCATCAACAAAGCAGGCACTGAAGCGTCATATGATTGGTGTCCACTTTTGGAAGGAAGGAAGGAATACAAATGAAAAACAATGTTCGTTTTTTTTTTTTTCTTTTCATTGATTAATCCCCCCCAAAAGAATTGACCCATTCAGCGATTATTGAAGCGATCGCTAGTTGCGGCCGTGCAAAGTCACAGTTTGACGGAAACGGCGAGTGAATGAATTGTCGCCAACAAACCGGCACCACCTTGATACTATTTGCTTTGTTTTGGGTTTTTTTTTTTTTTTGCCTTCAGGGTCGGCCCGGACCCAAGGGAGAACCCGGAGACTCTGGTCTACCCGGACTCAAAGTAAGTTTTGGCTTCTGCGTGTTTTTCTCGTGTTTCTGCTTGTGGAGGCGGGCAGGCGTGCCGGTTCTCCTGGCGGCACAAGTGCTCATCGGGCAACGTGACAACGCGACCGGGTGGGAACCGGTGGGCCGAGACTCCGAAGTCAGAGAGATGAAGATGGTGGCCGGATCCGCTCGGGGACCAAGTTCCCGCGCAGCCTTCCTGCTCAATAAACGTCCTCTGGTGTCGCCACGCCGGCCGAGAACACTTTGGATTGCTTAGTGGGGCTCCACTTGAAAGGCGGAGCTAAACGCGAAGGACGTGGAGCACGCAGCATCTCGTGATTCATTCGTTTTGTTTTTTTTTGTGGCCCCAAAAGGCAATTGCGAAACTTCTTTTGGAGGGGTGTCAGTTATTTACGACTTGTATCAAATCAAGGGTCTCCTGTTGATGTTTGTGTGCGTGCGCAGGGCTCACCGGGACCTCGCGGCCCCAGCGGCCCCATCGGACCCGCCGGAGTGAGGGTGAGTTGCGAGCCGGACCGACTTTGAGCGTCGGGGACCAGCTGACCTTTTGTCCCGTCTGTTTGGTGTTCAGGGCCCTCAAGGAAAGGACGGCATGTCGGGACCGCGAGGACCCGCCGGGCCCATGGTGAGCCGGGAGCAAAATGCGGCCCGAGGACCCCTTTGTCATCGTGTGTTTGAGGCGTTGATCTCGCTTTCATTGGCTTCTCCCCGCAGGGACCCGCGGGGTCTCCCGGAGCGCCCGGTCCTGAAGGAAAACCCGGCAACACGGGTCCAAATGGAGCTCCTGTGAGTCATGACACCCCATGGCCGAGGTGCGAACGAACGGGCGAGCGTTCTTTGGACTGACCGATTTGTGTATGTGTGTGCGCCTGCTTTCAGGGTTCGGTGGGACCAAAAGGAGACAAGGGCGAGCGCGTGAGTACAACTGGATGTCAGTCGCCGCCGTTCGGAAGACTAACTTTGCCCGACTTTGTGGTCCCCAGGGAGACTTTGCTCCTCAGAACATGATGCGCTCCATCGCCAGGCAGGTGTGTGAGCAGCTGGTCAACGGTGAGTCGGACGTCTTCATCTTGTCCAAAAAAGCTCGAGCTTGACGTCCCCGTCCTCGTCCCTGCAGCCCAGATGAACCGCGTCAACGGCCTGCTGAACCAGATCCCCAGCGGCATTCATCGCAGCAACAACCCGGGGCCACCGGGACCCGCCGGACCCCCCGGCATGCCGGGACCGCGCGGCGAGCTGGGCCCCACCGGAAGGAATGGTTTCCCCGGGAACCCGGGACTGCCCGGACAGGCCGGGGAGACGGGTCCGGCCGGAGAGAAGGGCGAGCGAGGCGTGGCGGGAGTTGGACAGAAGGGCACTCGAGGACCGCCGGGTATGCTTCTCCCGTCATGCCGGATTCTTGTTCTTCTGATATGCTGACGGACACAGACAAAGTGTCCTCGGGAACATGTGGACAAAATTGGACATGGCGACGCAGAACAGGGTGGCGCTAAAGGCCTTGGTGGGGAACAACGGGACGTCTTAGGGGACGTCGCGAGACAAAATTCTCGATCACGCGGGACCCGATAGAAGCATTTATGGCACGGGGTGGAATCACATTTTGAGACACGGGAGGGGACGGACACGGTGTTTGCGTCTGTTTTGGAATCATCTGCGCGATCATTGATGACGGCGTTGCCGCATCGCTCCCGCCAGGCCCACCAGGAGAGAGCAGGACGGGCCCCCCCGGGCCGACGGGCTCCACGGGACCTCGCGGCCCTCCCGGGCGCCCCGGTCACG